ATATTGAATAATAATTGATTGTTGTAGAAAAATGTACAATACTCCTATATTTAGAGGCAAAAATATTCCCTAATCCTATTAATAAAAGGAGACTAAAATAAGGAAATTAATAAAATCTTATTCTAATCAATAAATAAAAGAAATCCTACCTAAACAAGAAATAAGAATAAAAAATAAAACATATTAGAACAAGGAAGAGTGATTGATTCAGTGTTTGTGATGTGTGGTTGAGTAGGGGAGAGATCAACATCAAAGAATCGATCTTTATTTGAGAATCGATCTTCACTCAGATTCTCCCCCTGAAGAGAGGACTGTTTATAGTAGGGAGTTCTTTCAAAGAATGTGACATCCATACTAACAAATACTTTTCTCGTGGATGAATCATAGCATTTGTAGCCCTCTTGAGTAGAAGAATATCTAATGAGGACGCATTTAAGTGCGCGAGGATCAAGTTTACTCCGATTATGAGGATGAATGTGGACGAAAGCAGTACAATCGAATATGTAGAGGGGTAAGCTCGAATTAAGACGGGAATCGGGAAAGAATTGTTGAAATATTTGAAGGGGTGGAGAACATCAAGGCCTGAGCCACCTCAAGGAGGTGTTTATTTTTTCGTTCAGCAATATCATTTTGTTAGGGAGTATCGACACAAGAACTTTGATGGATTATTTCTTGTTTTTGGAGATATTCTTTCAAAGTAGTATTGAAATATTCTGTACCATTGTCAGTACGCAATATTTGAATTTGTGTCTGAAATTGTGTTTGAATCATCGAATGGAAATTTATAAATGTAGTTCGGACGTCGGATTTTTCTTTGAGGAGATAAACCCAACAAATTCTAGTATGGTCATCTATAAATGTTACGAACCATTTTTTGTGCGTTCGACTCGGGATTCGCGAAGGGCCCCATAAATCACTGTGAATTAAGGTAAATGGTTTGGTCGGTTTGTATATAGATTTTGGGAACGAGGTACGATGGTGTTTAGCTAATTCACAATTTTCACATTGGAAATCAAATGACCTTTTATTCGAGAACATAGAAGGAAATACAAGACGTAAATACTGAAAACTGGGATGACCCATTCTAAAATGCCATAACAAAAGTTCACCATCTCTAGGAACAAAAACAGAAACACAAGTTGCAGTTTGATTACGCTTACTCACATCAGCCTCCTCAAAGTAGTAGAGTCCCCCACATTTCTTAGCACTGCCAATCGTTTTCTCCGATGATAGGTCCTGAAAAATACAAGACAGGAAAAATTTAGCTGAATAATTGAAATTTTTAGTTAATTGGCTAATTGACAGTAAGTTACAAGACAGTTTTGGAACGTGAAGAACGGGTTCCAGAGTTATGAAATTAGAGATTCGAATACTCCATTTTCCTGCTACTGGTGAGAGTGAGCCATCTGCGATTCTGACTTTGATATTGCTGGCACAAGGGGAATACATGGAAAAAAGGTGGTAGGAGTCCGTCATATGGTCAGACGCACCGGAATCAATAATCCAATGAGCTTTGGATTGAGTAATTGTATGTAATGCTCTCAAAAAATTACCTTTGTGGGCTAGTGAACTCAACGGACCCAAGGATTGGAAGTTTGAAAACATTTTATATAATTGCTCCATTTGTTCCGAATTGAATGCACTGCTCTGAGCAGAATTATTTTTTTCCTCGATGAGATCAACCACTGCTTGGTAACCTCGATTTCTGTTATTTTGTCTTAGCTTCCAATCAACTGGTTTTCCATTTAGATCTTAGCATGTATCTTCTTTATGCCCTGGTTTACGACAATGATCACGCCAAGGACGCTCCCTTTGTTGTTTTAGGCCAAACCCATTAGTGGGTGTCCCTTTATAAGTTAGGCCCATTCCCCTTACCTTCATTTAATGTTGGCCCTCTAAGAACTTGGGTTGACCCATGGCTTTTATGTAATTAGACTGACCCACCAAGCCTAATTTCTTTGGATAATAATGCAGACCCGTCTTCTTCTCCTGGCCCAGAATTCCTCCCTTCTCGAAGCATCACGCCTCGCCGATTTTCTTCTCTACGAACTTCGGCGAAAGCTTCGCGAAGTGAGGATAGGGGTCGCCGGCCAAGAACCCGACCTCTTACATCATCCAACTCCCTGTTCAGCCCGGCCAGAAACTCGTATACCCGCTCGTTTTCAAGTTTCTTCTTGTACCGTACGCTATCTGCCGAACAGTCCCATTCTTCATCGACTTTCTGATCGAGTTCCTACCGAGTGAAGATATCTCCAGGTAGTAGTCTATCACATTTCTCTGCATTTGCTTCGTCTGCCAGAGTTTGGTTTTAATTTCAAAGATTTTGGAGGAATTTCCAGCGTCTGAGTACATGTCTCGAACGACATCCCACACATCATTTGCCGTTGGTAAAAACAGATACGTCTTGCCAATTAGAGGTTTCATTGAATTAACTAGCCACGCAGTCACCATAGAATTTTCCGAGCTCCATTTTTGTAAAAGTCCGGCATCGGTTGAGGCGAACTTGGTCTTCTCTCAGGTAAGATATCCTAGTTTCCCTTTTCCGTCGACGATGAGTTTTATTGACTGAGCCCATTCTCGATAATTTGTTCCATTCAATTTTTTGACCGTGAGTTGGAACGAGGTATTATCGAGTCCACCTGAACCCATGGTGGAAAGGGATTCAACCTCATTGTTGTGCGTTTCTGAAGTTGTTGACTCCTTGCTGTTGGTGGTGTTTTCCTCCATCGATTGTATGGTAGCTAGGTCAGGACATACTCTAGCTCTAATACCATGTGAATTGGAACGTGAATACGAAGATTTGTGTTATTTCACTTTCCTTATTACATGAATAGAGCACCAATATATAGTGCAGGAGAGGGAAATAACAAGGTAACTTTCTAAACATGGAAAAGGAAAATTGCCTATTCTAAATTAGGTTATACAGTCAATACAAATCAATCCCTTAATCTCGGGATTTCTACATTAACTTTTGGCAATGACTTATTGTTGGTTGTATAATAATCTTATTTGGTAGAATATAAACTTCAGTTGCCCTCTGGAAAGCTTTCTAATGCTTCAATAACGGAAATGTCAAGTGTCTCTAGTAGTTCTATGTGCTTGATAGCTATCTTGTCCCTTCTGCCATACTGAAATGGTGATGAAGTTAATTATTGCCAACCATTGCTCGTGCATCTCTCTTTTTTGTTCTGCTACAAACTCTTTCGGTTCACTTCTTTTCAATCAAAGACTCAAAATTCGTTACTGTTCGTTTTTCTTTTCCTTTTTACTTTTCCTTAATAGGAGGACTGGAATTGAATCAAGTTGGTTGGGTTTAGATGGAGCAGGCACTTCTGGATTTGGTCGAGTTCAGATGGTAATGAGGCAACTTGCAGCTGTAGGAGAAACTGCCCTTGAAGATTCTGCATGGGGATTGTTTCCTCCAAATCCCTCTCAGGCTGGTACATCCAGGACAGGCGCCCCTCCTCCTGGCCCTCTGCGGTATCCCGTTGGTTCTGGTGGTTTAGGTATGAGGTCACCATCAAGTGTGCCGAATGACGATATAGCAAATATACTCAGCATGGCTGAAGCAGTTCGGGAAGTGCTGCCCCACATACCTGATGGTTTAATCTTCCAGGTAAAACTTTAATTCATTCTGAGTGAAGAAAGCTTTACGTACTATGTGAAAATTTCATGATTAAAGTTTTTTGTATCACAAAAAGTTTTTTTGTCAAAACACAGTCTGATATTTGATGTACGGGAACTTGCAGGATCTACAGCGGACGAATTCTGTGATGGTCACTGTGAATAATCTTTTGCAAATGTGATTTTTAGCTACTTTTTCTTTTTTAATTCTTTCCTTCAAGTTCTTGATAATGGAAGGCTGTAACTGGTGCAGGCTTAAGACGCATGAAATCGGCTTATTTGCACCTTGTTGTGTCTAATGTTATAAGCTTTCTTTTGTTTATATGAAGGGGCTTAATAAAACCATTTCTTTGGGGAAAATGCTCAAATACCACTCTTGTAAGGAAATAAAAACATTCACTTGAAATGAATACTTGTGCTTTAAGATCTTAATGCAGTAGTGCTCTTGTCAAGTTGGGATTTGAGATTGTCTTGTTCCTTGTCAAACAGATAGTGACATTGGCCCCATTTCATGATAGTCTGAGTAATACTATTTAGCATCATCGGTGTTAAAATACCAATCTTGATTGCACTAATATGATATTAATAAGAAATACAATTAAATGAGTCATTCTATTTTTCGTTGAACTTATAACATAGCGTTGTCTAAATTGTTATTGTAACCACTGATTTTAAATAGTATTATTTTGATGATCTTGGTGTCGTTTCTTGTGTGACCTACTTTTAATGAGTAGCTAACAGAAATTTGAACCATGCTTCGTGTACAGAAGCAACCGGACCCCACACCTGTGAGTGGGTGTAAAACATCAGTAAAAAATATTTCTGTACATATGGTTTTTTCCCGGATATTTTCATGGCCTACTTGGACTGTCCACATTGGGTTGGCTTTGGCTCACGTGAACTAATGATTGTGTTAAGATTAATTAGTTGAAAGAAAACCTCAACTCTACCCCCATGAGTTCTATGAAAAATAAGATTTTAGTCATTGTGTTTGGTAAAAATTACAAGTGTACGATATCATCAAATTTGATGTGGAACTAAAATGTTTGGATTGTCATTTGCATGATGATCCTATTATTTATTATTGATCTTATTAAGCTTCTGTTAGATATCGATTAAAATCAGATTTTTAGAAGATTTTGATAAAAGTTGATGAAATGTGTTGTTGAAAAGATGTGAGTCCCATAAAATATGTGATTAAAATTAATTGTTGACTTTAACTCGTGAGTAAAATCAGATTTTAATCTGAACCAAATAGGGGGCTAAACCTTAAAATTCATTTTAATCAACATAAAAAGTAATAGTTCTATTCTAAGTGTATGTTTGATACTCATTAATTTTTTTTATGGTTTGCTACATGATTATTTATACCAACACATTCACATAATAAAATATTCTACAAGTATACCAAAATCTTTTCCCTAATTTTTAACCACACATTTTCCTAAAAATACTATTCGAAACTCATTTTTTTTCCCAATTAATGAGAATCAAACAACCTCTGAACTCTAAATTAAAATTAAGCTTAATAATTGGTGAATTAATTGACATTTGATTTTTAGAGTTTAAAGCCATGGAAACGAATGCAAGAACTCACGGTTTCACCTTAAACCTCTCCCTCATACGAACTCATGGCAGATATTCATAGGGTATATCAAATTGAACTTTACTAAAATAGTTGAAACCCTTTGATCTCGAGCAAATTAAATTCTATGTA